TCGATTTTCTCCTAAAATCCGATACAGCTAAGGTCTTGTTTGTGCGTATTTTAATTCTGTAAAAACAATTTTTTGCAATCCGTCAATTCAATTCGGAGATATTTCACCGAATGGAAATGATAGTAAAGTAGAACAACTTTAGCATCCCCTTAAAGATGAACGCATATAGAAGTAGAAGTAAGGCACTATAGATGGGAGTATTCCTATCCGCCATTTTCGTGCCAAATCAGTGCTACTACAGCGAGTGTTACTACAGTAAGTGTTACAATGCTGATTGAAAGTCGCCGCATTTAATCCAAAAAGTATGTATTTTTCCATTAAAAAAAAAAGACATTCACACAAACACGAAAATAATTAATTTCTGTGTCAGAATAGAAATTTGTTCTTTTTATCTGCAAATATTTATGTCTCAGAAAGATAACCCTCAAGACGTTATTTTCTTGTTGCAGAAATAAATCGCATAAGGGCATAAGTATTTGCATTTAAGGATGTTCTGGCTATACAATCCCAGATAAAAGTGACTGAAATTTGAAATTGATGAAATTCTATCTTTTTATAAGTTAAGATATGCACCATATCATGCTCGTATCGTGTAAAGGATTTAAATAATGCTAGTTAAAATATAATATTTGGCACTACAAATGAATATATTTGTATATTTTACAAGTTTTGTGATTGTCGACAAAAAACTTTTGGACGTGAATTTCATCTGAAATCAACTGCAAGAAACGAAAAAACGAAACATATATTGATAATATTTAATGTATATCAGACATCGAAAAATACTTAAAAATCCACAAAATATATATATGTAAACAAATATCATTAACATAATATTTGCCTTTCTAACACTTTATACAAGTCAAAATAAAATGCCTGATATCATGTAGTAAATGCGGCAACACCGCACTCCACTCTAAGTTGGTACCTCTTGCGGTCTCGTACGTAGTTGAATGCGAGTCGAGGTTAGGTGCTTACAATAAGTAAGCAAGCGAAAATGCCGAAATGCGAGAAAAGACGGTGGAAAGGCAAATTAGTAAGTGAAACGGTATACCAACAAAGATTAAATTAAGTTAAAACTGTAAAATTCTAAATGAAAATAAAATCAAAATTCGAGTCAGAACCACAAAATGAATCAACTCAATGGCTACGTTTACACCGTGAGTTTAGTCCGCGACCTATACGATAGATGTCTTTGTTTAATCTATAAGATAAACAAGGACATCTATTGTATAGGCCGCGGCTTAAATGCACGGTGTAAACGTAGCCAATCGGACTACATGGAAGGACGCCGCATAGTTGAATTTTCCGTTCTCGCTGAGCAATTGTGATGTGTGTCATGCAAGGCCAAGGAAGCTCTTTCTCTAAGCTATATAGAAAAAGAAATGCACAGAGGCTTGGGCTTGATATTGTTGGTTAGATGCCACAAATGTTTACTAACAAATTCAGTCACCACGGGTAAACAGCACAACTGGGCAAATCGACGCTTGTCTCATTTTGACGTAAATACTAAAGCAGTAATCGGTAAGTTTACATAATTGTACCTGCCATATTCAAAAAAGTTTTTTAAATAAACAAACATATTCTCTATTCTATTCTTAATTGTGTTTCAAGGTGTTCTTCATGGTGGATTAGGACATACACATCTCAACAAAATACTGTCTTGTTTAAATATTCCAACTATCTCTCTCGATTTCAAGACATTCAAGAGATATGAACAAAAAGTTGGACAGGCAACAGAGAGTATTGCGAACAGTGTTGCCAACGTAAAATATGTTTCACCGTCAGATTTGTTTAAAAAAATCACTAGAAAATCGTCAGATTTTAAATGAAAACCGCTAAAAATCCACTAAACCTTTTGCGTATAATAAATATAGTTATAACTAAATAATTAAGCACAAAACACCGCGCATTCCATTCAAATGTAATAAAATTGTACGCTATAAACTTTTTCGTATACTTTATACATTTTTACATAATAAGAAATATTTATTTTTTAATATTTATTATAAAGTTGTAAAATATTTATTATATAAAGCTGTTCTATATAATGTAATATTTTTAGTATAAAATCAGCAATCACATAAATTTAGAATCTATTCATAATAATATATTAAACTATTTTTCCAATTTTTTACATGAATACATTTCCATAATGTGTCTCGATTAAATGAACAAAGTTTCAAAACTTGGAAAATCTAAATCTTCCAAATTTATAGAAGTATACGTATCATTAGAATGAATTTTTGTTAGAAGTTCTGATGGAACTTCGTAATTATAACAGCAGTTTTTGTTTCTACGAAATGCAGCTCGAATGGTCATTATTGCGTTCAACATGTACGAACTCATTTTATTTCTATATTTGTTTTTGATAATGCTCATATGGCTGAAAATTCTTTCGATTTCTGCATTAGAAATAGGCAATACTAACAATGAAATTACAAAAGTAGCTATTTCTAAAAAAGGATTATTTCCAGCAGCCTCAGTAAAATTTAAAACTTCAGAGCAAAACGGAATAGTTTTAGTCGTATTTTCTCACTTGCATAAAATTAAATTTCTAAATTGATTTTCGATTTTAGTAATATCAAAAGCAGAAACTCCAGATAATTTCAAGATATCTGAGATTTCTTCCTTATTTACTTTTAATGTATTTTCTACAGAGAA